ATCGGCTCGTCATTTTTCTACTCCCATCATGGCCGCTACTCACTACTCTCGGGGGCTCTGAGCCTTGAAACTTGGGGCAGAGCTGAGGGTTTATGGTTTGGGAGCTTTCGGGCTTAGGATTTAGGCTTTCGTGTTTGAGGTGCAACCGACAGAAACCCCAACCCCTCTGCGTTGCGTCCGAGGGCCCGCATCCCAAAGTATAGCCCGAGACGAAGATAAAGTTACGCGAATCCAGAGCCTAAGACCCTGGCAAACCAGCCAACACTGGTGAGAGCCCCGGTGGCGGGCGAAGCGGCCGGACCTCATCGGAAGGTCTTGTCTTGCTGACGGGTTCGTACACGGGGTTCAGGGTCAGCGTGGGTCCAGGGTTCCAGGGCAGATATTGGCCATGCGAGTGTCTGCAATTAGAACCCTGCCTTCCAAGGGGTGTCGGCGTCTGGCGGGGCGATCACCCTCGGGTCCAAGCTGGGCTGCGCCCTGGGAGAAGCGGAAGTTGCCACAGTGACTAGGAGAGCCAATAGCAGGGCCTAGCAATAAGGTATACACATGTATAACCATCACAATGGAACAGTATCGGTGGTTACTTTAGGCTTAGATCGACACGACCGGCGCCCTGGTGGTGCCCGGTCGTCGCATAGCATCTACTACGAGTATAAGCAAGTGGAGTATGGGTGAATGTAAGAACGTGATGAGGATAGGTAAACATTATGTAGGTTGACAGAGAAGACTGGAAGTACTCGGTGCAATTTGAAGTGTAGGTGTCAAGAACGGGATACGTCACTTAGAGGAAATGAGCAATCATAACTCTCAAGCTTATAGGGAAACAATCGATAAGCACTTCAGGCATGATTGATTGCTGTGATACTTGCTAAGCTACCCAAGGGCGAGAGAATCGGAAACCACTACAGCTCACAAATGGGAGTCGTCCCATGTCGTGGCTCATCATGCATGGATATGTCCAATTACAAGAATCGCCGACTTGGGGAAAGTAAGGTTGTTCACGAAGGCTGAATTGGGGCAATGGATCAAAAGACCGGGATAATGATGCATTTGGATAATGGTATTTCAAAAGTGGCAGGCAACAAACGGCAGGGTAGAAACTCAGGTAGTAATGATATGTGTAGTGGTTCAGGGTGGTGCTGAAACAGGTTGAGAGGCAACTGCCAGAAATGCGGAGAACTGTTCGAATTAGATACTAAACGAGAGGTGTTATGTAATGCAACTGTTCACTGAAAACAGCTATGTGTTGTGTTTGTTAAACAAAAAATGCAGTAATATATGTGTGTGTATAGATATACATAGGTATGTTGCAGACGTCGTTGTTTTTTTGACAAGTTGCTGTTTGGGAGTAAGGCTACTAATGCTACTCTACGAGATGCCAAACACAGGGATCACAACATTATAGTGGCAGACGTACACGAGCTCCAACAACACTACCGAAGAGACTTGAAGCACCTCGCACCCACTTTGAACATCAAGTGGATTCACTGCATGACTAACAACGAGTTACAGCAACAACGACTTAGAACAGCGTTGGTTTCGCCTGATACGTTTCGAAAAAGTACCACGTCGATACCCATTAAGTTCAATGATCTGTTGGACGGGCGAGGCACTACCAACAAAAGTGATAGTTAAACAACCCCAAGATTCTTCACAGCGATGTGGAAGCGAGTCTTGTAAAGCATTTGAAAACCTTGAGAACGTGGTGATCTACCGCACCGAAGGGCATCCTGCTTTTCTGAAATGTGTTGTAGAAGCCGGCTGAAGCAATTGCAACAAGTCCAACAAACCGATTTCGTATGGAAATACAGTTTCATAACAGTTCACATACAATTGTAAGATGCTTTGGACAGCAGTTAGATTGACACCAATGGAATCCTTCAGACCCGAAACGATGAAATGTTCGGGCCCTCAAAGTTTCTTAGTGGCAGGCCAGTTCATGTTGGTCGCGCGAACGGGCCACTGGACATCCTGGTCGCACAGGCTTCGGCAAAGAAAAGGTGGTAAGAACAGCACATTCGGTACCCGTACAGTCATCAAGGCACGAATAGAAGAAGGAAGCTGAAAGACTTCCCATGATCGAAGAGACACCCTGGTGAGAAGGGCCAGGAATTCTGAGGAGGGCACGCTCTCTTGCACCACTGCTTGGGCTACTTGGAGATGATGCTTCACAAGGCAGGCTCGCCGGATATCGGCCAAGACAATTGATCATTTCGGGATAGCGGATAGCGGTGCTGGGTTCAGAACAAAACCTGTTTGTGATGCTCGCAACCAAGATCGACTCTCTGCCAGACAGGCACCCAGAGTAGTGACTAGGAAAGTTGCACCCCAAAAAAACAGCCGCAAAAGACTCAACTGATGCGTGCCATGGATTCATCTGGCCTCGTCGCTGCTCACAGGTAAGCCGTCACTGTCGGCGCCTGATTCGCCTGGATAGACTGCCAAAAAGCTAACCCTCCGACAGAAACAACAAATACAGATAACATAAAGGTTTTAAAAAAGCAAGTGGTAATGATTGAGCAAAAGCCATTAATTTCCTTCGGGAAAGCATTCGCGACAGCAATCGCAGTGATTGTCGTCGTCGTCGGTAGCAGCAGCAGTACTGGTAATACTAGCAGTAGTAGCAGCAGCAGCAGCAGCAGGAGGAGTAGTAGTAGTAGCAGTAGCAGTGGTCGTAGTAGTAGTAGTAGTCGTCGTCGTCGTAGTAGTAGTAGTCGTCGTCGTCGTAGTAGCAGCAGCAGGAGTAGTAGTAGTAATGGTAGTAGCAGTAGTACTAGTCGTGGTAGTACTGGTGGTTGTAGTAGCAGCAGCAGCAGCAGCAGCAGTAGTGGTAGTAGTAGCAATAGTGGTAATAGTAGCAGTAGTAGTAGCAGCAGTCGTCGTAGAAGTAGAAGAAGTAGGAGTAGTTGTTGTTGTTGTTGTAGCAGTAGTCGAAGTGGTCACAGTAGTAGCAGTAGTAGTTGTCGTCGTCGTTGTCGTAGCACTAGACGACTCGAAGTACACTACCATCGTCGTCAGGATTGACGGCACAATGTGCATCGAAGTAGCGGTCGGGGGTCGTGGATGCCGTGGAAATGGACTGCCTCGTTGCCGCACTCTTTTCCAAGTTCAGGTCTAGGGCTTATTGTTGAATCATGTGAACGGGCAGGTTGCAGATGCTTTCAGGGTGCAAACAGCGCTTCAGCTGAGTAGCCGTGCAAGCGGATTCTTTCCATCCGGTCCTGCACCTAGCTTTGAACCTACAAATTTCGGAGGCCCAGTTTGTCGTATCTTCCGACGCTTGCAGGACGTGACTACTCCTGCACTCGGCGGGGTACGATTATATTCGGGACATGGCTCTTTCCCCCACCACCCGGCCCATGACCACCAACGAACAGCCCCAGGACGACGACGACCGCCACTGTGACCGAAGAGGAACAAAAAAAAACACCACGACGACAATCACGACCACCAATGCCACCTCCACATCTGCCAGTTTGCTGCATTGGTACCGAAAGTGCTGCTAGCATCGATGCTCTGTCTGTGGGGTCATGACCTGCTCGCCACCATCAGGATCCATTCTGCTCTTGGTCCTCCTTTTCATAACTGCTGACCTGCAGCCCTACAGTATGCCATCCGCGGCGTAAAAGCTGGCACAGCACCGCTCCGCACTTTTCAAATCTACCCTAGCCAGAGGGAATGCAGAGAGACCTAAACCAGAGGTTCAAGCAGCCTACAGCACAATAGACGAATGGTACTCACGGCTTACTGGGGTTTAGGGTTCAGGTGCCCCTGAATCTCTCGAACGGCCTGGTCGGCGAGAAACACAGCGGGATGCGGCTGCGCCTCTCCTTCAGGGCGCTGGAGAATCGACTCTTAGACACTTCATGGCGAAGGTCAAACCAGATCTGCTGTAGGTCTGCATCTGCTTAGCGCATGGAGGAAGGCATCCGCCTGAAAACCTCGATCTCGCACTCCGAAGTTAGAAATTGCAGCAACATAAGACTGAACAGCAGCCTGTGCCACAGCCCCCTCATCACCATCATCCATCATCCATCATCATCATCATCATCATCGTCATCAACCTACCTGCAAGACCCTGGCATGTGGGTGGTTGTCAAAATTATGGTCCCTTTTGGGGTACCCTAAATATTAGGTGCCGTATTATTATAAGGACCCAAAAAGGGACCCTAATTTTGACAACCACCCATGTGTCTGAATCAACTGGCCAGGGTTCCAGTTGCACGTAGTACATAATCCAGGAAGCGGATGTGGTGTCCTCAGTTTCGCAGAAGCCGGAAAATTGACGGCCCGGCGCCGAGACCGGTAAACGAGAAGATATTAGGATCTAGGATTCTCGCTCTGTTTTTGATTTCTTGTTTCGTCTGGCAGCCACGACCCTATCAGGAAGCCTGCTTGAAGCGAGCTGATTCGGCCCCCTCGCCCACCCTCGTTTACAGCAGCGAAAACTGCCAGATAAACGGACAAATCACTCAGGTTGGCCATGCAGTCGGCATGCCTCACCTCCCGAGGAAATCGCGGTCCATGATCGAGACATATTTAAAATAGTCTTCATGTACCGAACTTGGTGTCTGCAAGGACCTCCGTGGGCCAGGATGGAAAAGCACAAGGAACACGATTAGCACCTGTAATTTCGAGTTCCCTCCGGAAGAGGCGGTCGCTAGGACTCTTTGCGGACACGAGAAACATGCACAGAGTGCACGCTGATGAGGGAAAAATACCACGGCACCCCATTTGTACTTTTCGTCAATCGAAGTGTGCATCAGAGTAGGGGCATTCGACAATCTAGTCTGCCACATGTGAAAACCGTTGCCAGCACGCAGACAACGCTGCGCATGCACGAAATGCCCTGGACATGTCTTCTCAAGCAATGTCAAGAAGCCGTTGCAGCCGAACCTTACGGAAGACCCCCGGGAGGGAAATGGCCACAGCTTCCGCAACATTATGACACTCCGACCTCGCGCCCTCCTAACAACCGTCAAGAAATGCTGGCGAAGAACTCGGCACTTGGCGAAGGCGTTGCTGAGGTCAGCAAGATTGTCCACCTGCCATTCACGCGGGGTGTACTCATGGGCACTGAATCGGCACTGATATGTATAGGCCTAATTCACAGACAGCGTAGCCCCACATATGCCTACCCCTGAGCCTGCAAGCACCTTGCCGCTGATTATTCATACTCCATACCCTAGAATGTGCTCTTAAACCCAAAGCCCTATACGCTATACACTGAATGCCAAACCACAGCAGAAGAAAAGATGGTCCATCTCCCGACTGCTGGCGGACTGGATGTTGAAGTTTATGCTTAACAACCGTACGACAACGCGGTGCTGCAGGATAGGATGAATATCATCATGCTTCTCTCTGCTGTCATTACCACTGCCATCCGTCACCATTATTTCTGATAGCAGTAGTACTGGTACTGCTGTTGCTACTATGTTTACTGCTTACTACCTCTTGCTTCCGATTGTCTAGGCAATAGCTACCGTTTTAGCGCATACTACTCTTACTACGATTACTTTCGCCGTGACTATCACAGTTGCAATTGCTGTACCTTTGCACACAAAGAACAAATTACAAGTACCATATCCAAGCTGAATCACAATTACTGCTACTGTTCTCATAACCTTACTGTTACGAGTGCTATGACCATCACAATCACCATCGCTACTAGTCGTCGTCGTAGTAACTCAGTAGTTAGTGTCGTCGCAGAAGTACCACAGGCAGTAGTAGTGGTGCCAGCAGTAGCAGTCGTCGTCGTCGCACTCGTCGTCGGAGTAGCAGCAGCAGCAATACTCCGGCTGATGATATAAATCCTGCATTACCCATGATAAGGAATATACCACAATTCCCATAGTTTAGGGTCCTTGAGGTAATGCAGGAGTTATATCATCAACAGTGGTGGTGGTAGTGGCAGTGCTCGTGGTGGTGGTAGTCGCAGTGGCAGGGGCAGGAAATGGCGGAGACATCCGAAGATTTCCTAGCGTCAGCACTATCGCTGATGGCATAGCTATGATTCTACACTGACCATGTCTAACCTCTCAACCCCTAAACCCTAAACCCTAAACCCTAAACCCTAAACCCAACCTGAAGCCAGACTGGCGGCCTGGCTCAAAGCATTTCTGCCGAGGAGCCGAAAGCTCGGAGAGCAGGGGCACCAAGCAGGAGGCGCAGGCTTTGAAGAATCCTGGCAGAAGGGTGATGTGAGGGGTTTATATGGTTTTGAGTTCTTTTGGGAGACTTTACATGGAGTTACCAAGCATAGCAGAATGGAATATTGTCGACCATCATGCTGTGCTTATTATGGTAACTTAAACTAAGTTCCGCTTCGAGTTCGGTTTAGGCCATTGGGTTGAAAGGCTGGGAGTTGGTGGGGTGATAGCTGAGGTAGCTGCAGCACTCATGACGTGTGGCTGGTGGCCGGCTGGAGAATGGGAGCCTGGGTGCGTGCTAATTCGAGCATTTGAGAATAGGGTTTGGGGGTATACTATACTATAACTATTATAAGGAACCCCCAACACCCTATTCTAAGTATGAAGGCCACTACAATAGAATCATAGTGGGGGTTGCACGACCCTCAATCACGACTGCAAGGAAGTCTGACTGCGGGTCATTTCACTCTGACCTCACCAATAGACCCCGCACAGGAGCCATGATTTAAAGCAGGTCACAAAATTCAATCCTGCTATGTTTGCCCACTGAGCCTTTACAGCACAAAACTCGTGAACCCAGACTACTACAGACCCCACCAACATCCCCACAGCAGTCTTATAACCCCCCGAAACCAATACCCCACTTTCCTAAAGACTTTCTTAAACCCTCGACATCCCTGAAGCTACTTGCTTACACCCCAAGCCCAAGACCCTACGCCTATGTTCTTAAAACCCTCAACCTTACGTTCTTGAAAGCCCTGATCCCTTAACCCTAAACCCTAAAGCCTAAAGCCCTGATCCCTAAACCCTAAACCCTAAAGCCCTGATCCCTAAACCCTAAACCCTAAACCCTTTCTTTCTTCGAAGCCCTGATCCCTAAACCCTAAAACCCTAAGCTGCCTGGGTGTTCGGGATAGAGCTCTGCTGCGGCGCAAGTGGCCGCCACCAGCTCATGGGCCTGGCATGGCCGAGAAAACGGGGCTGTGAGGATTCAAAACGAGTTCCTTTAACAGGTTTAGGGTTGAGGGTTTGGGGTTTAGGGTTGAGGGTTTAGGATTTGGGGTTGAGGGTTTAGGGTTGAGGGTTTAGGGTTGAGGGGTTGAGGGTTGAGGGTTTAGGGTTGAGGACCCTAAGAAATGGTTTTGGCTGCCGCTTCGGTCATTATTCAAGCCCCCATGTCCTAAACTTTGGATGTTGAGCCGTGCAGGCCGGAGGCTTTACGCACCAAGGTGGATTCTGGATTTCAGGTGCGAGGGATTGGGGTTCAGGGTTTAGGATGTAGGATTCTCGCAGGCTTTCGTCTTGCCTGCAGCTTTGATAGCTCGGAGTGAGGGGCGTGGCTTTCAGAGTCTTCGGCTAGAGTCACAGGACCCAAGGATTTCGGAGTGGAAGGTCCCCTTAGGCCGACATCAGGCTTCGAGCTCGACGGAGACTTCTACCCAGACCACCGCAACGCAAACGCCCTGCGAGCGTCAGGCTGCACCGGGCTGTTGGGTCCCAGATCCCTTTTGGCTCGACCAGCCACTGCGCAGCCCACATACTGTGGGATCCAGAGCCTAAACTGGCCGACACCCAGAAACGCTGGGATCAGGGGGCTGTGAGGACTTGGGACTCACCTGCGAAGCCGAAGCTGAGGCCGCAGAACTGTCTGGTGCTTAGTAGGGAATGGGGGAATGGATCCCTATGATAGTCCCTTAAGGTCCCTTATAGTAGTCCCTATAACCCATTCCCCCATTCCCTACTAAGCACCAGACAGACAAAAGACTTAAAACTTCCTGAAACCGCAGCCCGCACACCCACCTTGTCATGCTCTCGTCTCTGGAAATAACACTCGAAAGACATGTCACTCAAACGTTGGGCACCCGAAAGAAACCGTGCGGAAGCATTCACTTGACTTCACCTTGCCTGAAACCCAAACGCCAAAACCCCGAAACTCCTACATAAACCCACACGAACACCACAAAAAGCCTCGAACCCTAATACCCTGAATCCTAAACCCAAAACCCTAAACCTAAACACAAAACCCTAAACCCTGAACTCTCATCCTAAACCCCAAACCCTAAACCCCAAACCCACCCCGAAGGCCCCAAAAAAAAATCCGATGACGGCCTCGAAGTTCCCAATCTGGTCCTTGCTGCGTGAGGTTTAGGATTTTGGGTTTAGGGTTCAGGGTATTAGGGTTTAGGGTTTAGGGTTTATGGTTTAGGGTTTTGGTTTTGGGTTTACGGTTTAGGGTTTTTGGTTTTGGGTTTAGGGTTTAGGGTCCAGGGTATTAGGGTTTGGGTTTAGTGCCACCAAGGATGGTTGGTGCTAATAACCAGAGAAAACGGATGGGAGCCATGTACTGGTAATATAGGTATGCGTGATGCTGCAAGTAGGGTGAGGCGTTAGGATATCGGATCTTCGATGATGGAGTCAGAACCCTTCCACCACGAAACCCACACCCCAGGTAAAGTCTTCAGTTCTGTTCTGTGCACTCTGTAACACATCGTATGGCACGTCGCTGTATCGCATGAAGATGAACCCTAGCCCATTCTCACCCTGCGTGTCCTAAGCTGCGAGATGCCCAGTTTTCTTGATCCTATCACCATCAACTCGCCACCGAGACGGTAGGCACTACCAAGGTCTACATCCTGGGCGTAGGGTCAGGGCATGAGTTTAGGGTTCAGGGTCTAAGGTTTAGGGTTTAGGGTTTAGGTCCAACGCAAGACCTGAAGCCCAAAATTGCCGCATGAAGCTGTCACTTTCACGGTTGGTCGCCTCATTCTGTGCACTGTAGCCTCCAACCACGAGCCCACAGAACCATCCAAAGCTTGGCCTCAAACATGCCCAATCGATTAGGGCCATTAGGGTATGGGCCAACTGCTGGAACCCTGCATGTCTACAGCAGCCATCAAGCCCAGCAGAAGTCTTCATCTCTACACCCTGAAACCCTAAAGCCTGAAAACACTAAACGCTTTACCCCGAAACCTCAGAACCCAGAGCCTCAACGCTCAAACCCTAAGCCCGAAGCCTTTTTGAACCGAAAGCCCTGAGTCACAAATCATAGACCCTGCGAGCCCTAAACCCTAAACCCTATTGTCACAAATCTTTTCTACCCTAAACCCCATTGTCACAAATCTTTTCTACTTCACTGGAAGGCTCCACGGCCACATCCAGGAGCCGCGGCACGAGGTCGGGGCACTCCCGACCTCGAAATTACGGCTTTCTGGCCAATGTGCTGCTGACAGTCCAAAAGCTTAGGCATTGGGGTTTCAGCTAAATTTTTCAAGCCAAACTCGGGGGGTTAGGGCATTTTGGTCTGCCGGGTCTGCTGATGTGGGCTTAGGGTAGGCCCCGGAAGCTTGAGGTTAACGGGTCAGTGCTGAGGGTTCTTGGTTCTGGCTCTCGGGTTTAGGCGTCAAGGCTTTGGGTTTGGGTTTTGGGCTGGCCCTAAACCCTAAACCCGATTTCGGGTTTGGGGCGCAGGGTTGAGGTCGGGTGGCGGAGCTTACCAAGATCATTGCTGTTGAGGGCTTGGTGGTTTCGGTCGAGACGGTGCGCGGGGCCTAGTGACTGTTAGGGTTGCGGGGCTTAGAATGACATCTCGTTGGGCCTTGCTTTTTTTGGTTTAGGGTTGCTGGTGTAGGAAGTATGATGCTGGGCTTAGGGATCTGGCTTAGGCGCATGATCGGAGATGATAACTGTGAGGCTTGCATGAGCTGATGATGACAGTTCTGAGACGGCGAGCTCTTGCAGCCGGAGGCTTTCGGGTGCAGTCCCCTTCTGAGATGCTCGACTTCAAGACGTTTAGGGTTTAGGGTTTAGGGTTTAGCGTTTAGGGTTTAGGGTTTAGGGTTTAGGGTTTAGGGTTTAGGGTTTAGGGTTTAGGGTTTAGGGCTAGGGCTTTGGGCTCAGCCGCGAGAGCTTCTCTTAGACTGCAGGGCTCGCGAGTCGGAGATCTGAATGCGCCAAGCTGCACCCAGCCACTTCGCATGCCTTGAGCGTGCTCAGGATGTGCTTGGCCTTCATGCTCTTGGCGAGCCTGCCGGTCAACTGCATCTTTTGATGTTGTCAGCTGTCTTGGGCAGTCTTAGGGAGTCTGATCCCAACATCTAAACCCCGTTCTATACATAGGGGACAATAACCAAAGCCAAGAAGAACTTGATAAGGCAGACCATCTACACGCGGCATGCCATGATATCCGGCTGTTACAGCCGCACCTTTTATCAGCTGGCAGAACTACGCTCCCGCAGGAGCCCGCACCCTAGCAGCGGCATAACAGCGCTCTTAATTATGTTTATTGTTCAGGCCTATGTGGCCGCCGAAAAGTACATGTGCCACCGGTGCGGTAGACCATTTGGCTGTGCGTGCAGGCATCTCTGACATACATACACGTATACATATACATATGCATGTACATCTACATGTCCACAGACATATGCATCTACATATAGGAACCGGTAGGTATAGATATGATATAGAGATCGGGGCAACTAAGGATATAGAGATAGATACAGGTACAGACCTAGATGCCATACAGGTGTAGGTAAAGGTACTACGTACATACATACATACATGCATGCATACATACATACATACATACATACACATACACATACACGTACACGTACACATACACATACACATACACATACACATATTCATACGCATAGGCATACGCATACGCATACGCATACGCATACACATACACATGCACATACACACACATACACACACATACACACATACGCACGTACACACATGCACACATGCATGCATGCATACATACATACATACATTCATACATTACACTACGTTACACAACATTACAATGGGCACAGCATGCTCCGGGTGCCTGTACATGTGGGCGTACATGCATGTGCATCTAAGGTAGTGTGCATCTGTGTACATATAGAAAGAAATGAATACGAAAGCAACTAATTAATGACGCAAAGCAAAACAAACATCAAACAAGCTCCATGAATCAAATAAGCGAAAAACGTAACACCTACTTAGGTAAGAATGAACAAGGTACTAAATGTATATATCTATATATATATATATGTGTTTATGTACTTATTGGTTTATCTATCTATTGTTTATGCATGTGCGTGTGCTAAATGCCTATCTGTGCCTGGGAGAAATTCCTCTCAACCCCTAAGCTACAAGTAAGTCGTATGACTGCTATGAAACCACGCTTAACCCCCAACTTCTGAACTTAACCGCCTCAGCGCAGGAGCTCCACAGCGACCGAAGAGCCCCGGGAGGGGGACGCCTCCTGCAACGAGGGAATCTTGTGGGCACAGGTTTAGGGCACCCAGTTCTCAAAGCTGCTACAATCGGGATGTGGCTTAAGAATTGGGGGGGGTGGGCTGTTTGGCTTCTCCGATTGGGACCTCTGTTGTCGGCGATGAAGACAAAGTACTTGGGTGTGGAGTCTTGGTGGACCGACATAGCTAGAGTTGCATAACATAGTCGAGCAACAGCAGAAGCTGAAGAGAGAAACTCTGCGTGGTTCAGGGCATTTAATGGTGTGGCACCCTTAACGGAAGCTTCCGAAGCCCCATGGGATACCGATATCTTTGGTTTTGGCTCGTTGGGGCTTAGAATGTGGGAGGGCGGGGGGGGGGCTGTGCGCCAAAACCCAGTGGCAATTGAAAGTTCCGAACAGAACAGCCCTTCAGCCCGCCTGTCGTAATGGACTGCATCAGGCTCGAGAACTCCTGGGGCTTAAACCGCCGCAGCACGTCGCCTGGTCACGGCAGAAGCTCCTGAAAAATCGCTTCGCCCTATGATAAGGTTGATGGACAAAATTCTGCATGACCCAAATATAGTATAGTACCATAAATCCCATAGTTTTGGTATATAAGGTCATGCAGGATATTGTCCATCAACCGTAAAGCCCTCTAACACGTTAGCATTGAGCGTTATCTGGAAGGGGCGTGTGCCGGCGCTTCAATTGCGAGTGAAGCAATCGAGCTCAGGAACCAATACCACTGATACTTTTACAAACGGTTTTACGGCTTGGAGTCAAGGGCTCAAAACCCTAAACCCTACACCCTAATTAACCCTAAACCCTAAACCCTAACCGCGGGATAAAGGAGCCGCGGCCGCTTCAGAAGCCTGCAACACCTGAACCACCTTCGCGTGGAAAGGCAGCCCGCATTGAAATCCCAAGACTGGACGCCCAAGACCCAGACCGGAATCTCTACAACCTAAACCCTAACAATCCCTACACCCGAAACCCTGAACCCTGACCCTAAAGGCCCTAAAACCCAAAAGCCAACCCCTAAAGCCAGAACCCTAGCTGCGTTAGGTTCAGGCCCGTCCCTGTCCCCGAACTGCATGTAAACTGTCACAACCAGGAAACCCTGTGGGCTTAGGGTTTAGGGTTTAGAGTTTAGGATGTAGGGTCTAGGGTTCAGGACTCGTCTTTTCCTGCTGGTGATGGTAATTGAGTACAGGCTTCTTAAACGGGCTCTGCAGAGGTTGAGCTACGGGTCTTATAAGGTTCTATGTTATGGGGCCGGGATTGCAGCTTGGAAGGTTGTATAGGGGAAGTTTATGCGCCTCAGGTCTTGCAAGGGTTTCATAAGCGGTCGGAACAATTAAGGGAATAAATACGATTCAATTGTTCCCTATAGGTTTCCTCAACGCAGTGACAGTTTAGTATCCCCCAAAGCCCTATTCTATTTAAGGCCTCTATATTGGGGCTTAGGTATCCGGGCTTGGCGGCTCTAGGTGGGGCGAGTTCTTGTCTACGGCATCTGGGGTTAGGATTTAGGTATCGGAGGCGGGAGGGAAATGGCGCTTCGGGCCATCAAGGTACCCTATTCTGACCATTTCAGGCCCTAAACCCTAAACCCTAAACCCTAAACCCTAAACCCTAAACCCTAAACCTCAGGCCTCTACAATAGCCGTACTAAACCCTAAGCCCTATAGTCCAAACCCTAAGCGGCCCTAAACCCTGAACCCCAAAACCCGAACCCTCAACCCTAATGCCTGAAGCCGAAGCCCTTAAGCCCCAACCCTAAACCCGGAACCCTAAACCGTAAACCCGAAACCCTAAACCCTAAACCCTAAACCCTAAACCCGAAACCCTAAACCCTAAACCCTAAACCCTAAACCTGCCTGCCAACGCTTCTCGGAGCGTATCAAGCAACCTCGGGCTGCGGAAGCCATGAGCCAACGCCCAGCCTTGGCTCGGTTCATGTCAGGGTTCCTGCCTTTTTTAAGGATCCCAAAAGGGGTTTCGAGGTCTTATAGGGTGTAGGGGCTTAGGGTTTGGGCTGAGGGTTTTCTGAAGTTTGGACTTTGAAGACTTTTTCAAATGCCGTGCTGTCTTGAGAGATTAGCAGTTTAGGGTCTGCGTGAGAGCTCAGGGTTTCGCGATGCCACGATATTCTCCTACACCCCTTTTCCCTAAAACCTTAACCTTAAACCCTAAACCCTGAACCCTAAACCCTAAAACCTTCAACCAAGACCCTAAACCCATCTAGCAATCTGAAACACGGGTTCTGGATGCAAGGCCTTCCAGGTTCAGGTCGGAGATTGCAAACTAAGGACGAAAGAAGGCCATCTAAACCTTGAGCGCCTGGGCCCTCCACCTAACTAAACGGTTTAGGGTTTAGGGTTTAGGGTTTAGGGTTAAGGGACCTATGCCCTCAACCCTAAATCCCTAGACTCTAAACTATTGCTGAAAACCCTAAACCCCTAAACCCTGAAGCCCTAGAACCCCTACCTCTTGACAGGCCGCAGGCTGCCTGCTGTTTCGTCGGACAGTACAAGAGCAAAAGCAAGGAGGTAATAGGAAGTATCAAGGACGATAGTCATTAATTACTCCGAGGGCCATGTTATCGTGTTGACTTGCCCGATTCTGTCTCCAAAGGCTGTGAAAACGCTCAGAGGACCACCTACTGCTTGTACTCATCAGACTATACCACCACCTCACTACCACTACCGCTACCACTGCTACTCCTCCTCCTCGTGCTGCTGCTAGCGTTACTGCGAGTACGACGACGCTCAATTTGGGACTTTCCGAAAATTTGGGTACCTTATTTTGGGGTCCTTATAATAAGGATCCCATTATTTAGGGTGCTATATTAGGGTCCCCTATTTCGGAAACCCTCATTTGTGGATCCTCTGGCCAGGGAGCTGATGTTGCAGACCTCCTGGGGCTGGAGACAGTCTGCCTGCAAATCGACGCGGGGCTTCCGATCTTAAGGCCTCAGGGCTCAAAGGGCTCATGGTCCGGAATGCCTGAAGGTTTAGATACGATGTTTGGGTTGAAGCGCCTTGGCCTTTGAGGATTGAAGTATGACCTTCCAAGGTCACGGAGACCGCCATCTTCACAGTTAGAAGTTTAGCCCAGGTACTGCTTGGGGCCCGACAAGAAGCGATCCCCCGTTGTGAGCTGGAATAGACCCTAAACCTCAAGGCGTAATGCGCAAGACATTAAACCTAGATCCAGCCTACAATCCCCAACGTCTCAAACCCCTAACCCGTCTCAACATCCAGGCAGCTGCACCGCTTGTGTTTCAAAGCAAACATGGTGTTAGGGTTTAGGGTTGAGGATGTAGAGCTTGGAAATCTTGGAACAATGAGGAGGAGGAGGAGAAGACACAACGGCTCGCCAAGCAGCACACAGGGAGGAGGAACGGAAATGCGAAAAGGCCAAAAGCAAGCATAGAATAAACTCGGGCCTCCCGCCGCAGCTCCAACGCAATGCTGTCCGCCAGGACCATGTCGTTGACGCCAAGTTCCGCGAAGGACCACAGCGCCAGAGTGAGGCAGTGGGGCTGCCAGAACAGGCGAGCTAATGTAGGGGCCTTAATAATTAGAGTAGGGTTTTGGGGTCCTTTATAGTAGCATGATAATAAGCAGCCCTAACAGTAATATTGGTATTTATTTAGGCTTCTATATTATGCCAGGGCCCAGATTTCAGGCTAAGGCTTCAGGAGAACTATGAGGGTCCACGGATGCAGTGTGACTTTGCACTCACGATCTACGGAAAGCCAACGTGGGCATTCCCTCCATGTTGGGGTGTATTGTGCACTAGTGTTCATAAGGAGCCAGAGGGGTTCAGACCCCTATATTCCGGGTTTAGGGTTTAGGGCACTTGTATTCAGTGTGACGGCTAAGGCGGATTTCGTCCAGTCCACGCCATCACATGTAGACTCCGACTCAAGCTGTGTGGTAGTACAATCTTATTCTGAAATCCTAAGATTTGGTATTAGTAATTATCCAGGCCCCCAGTCTTGAACCCAACGCTACGTCCCTAAACCCTAAACCCTAAACCCTAAACCTGTCATGCGCCTTGTACTCACCAAGGCGGCGACGGCGGAGGCGCTGAGCCAGAGCCTCGATGAGGACAGATCCGTGGCCTGGCCAAAGAATCCCCATAGTACAGGGGCCTTAGTGATTAGAATAGGGTTTGGGGGTGCTTTAAAGTATAACTGTAAGAAGGAACGCTAAGGAATATCAAAGGCAACTATTCAGGCCCCTATATTAGGGTTCTATACGGATTACGATTGCTATAAGTGCTGTCTTCATGACTGTTAGGGCATCGCCTCCGGGTGTAGGGTCTAGCGGCTTGTCTCAGGTGTACAGCGGGACGGAAGCTGCCGAAGTATTCTGACATGTGCATCTCAGGACAACTATGGGGAGCGAGACGGACAGATCCTATATGTTGTCCTGACAGACATGCACAAACGCTCACATTCCTACGTCCATACATACATTCGCACATATGCATGTATACCAGATGTATGTGTGTATATGCATGTATACCAGATGTATGTGTGTATATGCATGTATACCAGATGTATGTGTATATATATATATACATACCCTATATGTATGTGTATGTGTATGTATATATATATATACATATATATATATATATGTACATATTACACATATGTGTCTGTACGGACCCATGACCTACCCGCACATCTCTTTTCAACCTGGTTATATACCATAGGAATACCAAACCTATTTTTTCTGAGAACCGGGATATGAGCCTGGATTGCCTGTCCAAAATACCGCACAGGAATAGTCGCGCCAGCATGCAGCCCCCTTGCTGATGACGGCTCGGGCATTGCTACCGAAAACAAGAATATCCAAAACTCTCGGGCGTATGCCTAAGTGCATTTTCGCTCAGACGTCGGCATTGGCAAGGGATGCTATCCCCTCCGACAAAAACTACTCGTGTGCATATCTTGCGGCTACACATACAAGATGTCACACATGCAGATGTAAGTATATCTGTGTGTGTGTCCCTCATATACATATATATATATATATATACATGTATACATATATATATATATATATATGTATGCATGTACGTAAACATGTATACATATATATATATATATATATATATATATGCATACATGCATGCATGCATGCATGCATGCATGCATGCATACATACATACATACATACATACATACATGTCTATAGGTGTGTATACACACACGTGTACATATGCATGTATATTTGCACATCTGTATATGAATAGATATATATATATATATACACACACACATATTATAGAACTCGAACATATCATAATATATTTATGTGTGTATGTGTATATATGTAGGTATGTATAGATATACATGTAATACATCGACGCTCGAGATTTCAGTTGCTTCCCCCGGTCGGAAGCTCAATCCCAAACGTCCAAATCGTAAAGCCCTAACCCCTAAACCCCCACACCCTAACCCATAAACCCTAAACCCCCAAATCTTACGCCCCCAAACCCTAAAGCCTAAGCCCTTAACCGTAAGCCCTAAAGCCTAAACCCTAAACCCTAAACCCCCAAATCTTACACCCCTAGACCCTAAAGCCTAAACCCTAAACCCTAAACCCTAAAGCCTAAACCCTAAACCCCAAACCCCCAAATCTTACACCCCTAGACCCTAAAGCCTAAACCCTAAACCCTAAAGCCTAAACCCTAAACCCTAAAACCCCTAAAACCCTAAAGACCCCGGAGCTCCTGCCTCCTGCTTTGAGCTTCGCAAAAGCCCAGAGCATGTTGGTCACCTGGCTCGACTTCCGACCGCCGGGGTCTCTAATTAAGGGTTGCCTCAAGTGTTCAGGGTTTAAGGTACAGGATACTAGAGGGTTTTTGGGGTTCAGGGGTTCAGGGGTTTAGGGTTTTAGGGTTTAGGGTTTAGGGTTAAGGGTGTAGGAGCACGAGTTCTTGTCGAGCCGGCTCAGAACCAGTTCTTCTTGCAGTTTCTGAGCCAGGCGAAGATTGGATCGACTGCATTCGTATATTTAATATATATATATATATATATATGTTTTGCCTATAGCCTAAAGCCTTATTCCAATTACAGGTTGATGTGTATATATATATATATAAACCGATATCTATATAGAGATATCAACATAAATACATATATATATATATACATCTCTACTATACTATTGCTAGAATAGGGACTACACCAATTGTTCCGACCCCAGCATTGAACAGAGTGGAGGAGGCGAGACCCAAAAAAGCCCTGAAGAGACGGAGCCCGGTGCCTCGTAGAATTTGAAGGCTTCGAGCCCCGGAACGGCCAAGGCCGCCAGCACGCTCAGAAGCCTCGGAGTTGGAGGCTCTGAAGTTCTCTGATTTCGTGCTTTGGGAAGCAGTTCGGGGCCGGGATTTTGGCCGTGGGATGCAAGGCACCAGGATTCGAGCCTGCATGCTGCGATTGGGGAGGCAAGTCTGTCAAGTGTCGGTGGAAATGGATTCTATGCTGTAACTTCTCCGAAAGCCCTGCTTGCCTCGGACCGTCTGCCTCGCCTGTCTGTCTAGCTGGCTTCCTATCTGTCCGTGAGAGATAGGCAATGTTGCATGTATATGTTTGAACATGTGTGCGTGTGTTTGCGTGTGTATATATATATATATGTACATATACATATACATATAAATATGCATATACATATACAAATACATATACATATACAAATACATATACATATCTACATATATACATATATACATATATATATATATATATACACACACATGCAAAAATTCAGACACAGACAAACGTATACGTCTCGCTGTTTGTGTGCTTATGTGCGCGTGTGCGTATGTCCGTCAGCCTGCCTGCCAGCCTTCCTGCTTGCTTGCCCGTCTCTGGCTGTCCGAAGAAAGGAGAGGGAGGGAGAGGGATGCGTTGACACTTCGTTCATACACCTACGGACCGACATGCCTGGTTGCATTCTGCCTCGGTCTTGCTCTGCCTCTGCGATGCGACACGATCGTGCCAAGAAGCCGCTCGTTGCAGATGTCCAAGCACGCCAAAGACCTGGTCTCACCATGCGACACGAAGCATGAAGTCCGAGAATGCTTTAGAAAGGTAACACTGAAGGCATGAGCTCCTTAAAGGCTTTCGTTGCGGACCATTCTTTGAGGTATACTCACAGCAACCAGCCCTCGGCCAACAGCAGTCCCTATAGGGACCCCAAGGCTCCCACCAGGCAATGATGCTGGCCTTGGCGAGCTTGTGGTATCATGGGGCTTCTGAGCCTCTAGGATCTGTTGGGGTGTTCGGGGGCGGCAGCAGCTCCATCGGGAACTTGAAAAGGCATCTTCACACCAAAACCTGCGTCCGGTGTTGAATAAGAAGCACAGCCCGTCGCTTAGACCCGCGCTTCGAAAGAGAGATACGGATCCCTACTGACATCTCTGCAGGATGCTGACACCTCTATCCAACCTGGTGCCCACAACAACTCTGAGTTCTGTTCTACGGCACCACAGCCCTTAACTATGATAGCCGCATGCAAGCCCCAACTGCATAGGCGAGCCGCACACTGTGCCGGCAGCACCTCCTGGACTTCGCACATGCAGATCTTCGGGGAACTGGGAACGCTTCAGACCGTTTCATTCGTCTTATTGATGGACATATTTGTCCGTATGCATGTATGTATTTGTACATACATACATAAATTACATAAATATATACACATATACATAGTATATACAAATGTAGAATCATACGTCTACATACGGGCTTGAGAACTCAGATAGCGAACTGAGCAGTTGGATTGGGGTGCGACGGAGGTGCAGTATTCTGCAAGGGTCTAGAGTCTAAAGGTTTTACATTCGGAACCCTAAGGAATACTATCACTACTCATTCAGTCTGTCTTACTCGTAAGTTCCGCTTAAAACTCGCTTTGGAGGTCCTCAGACTCATCAGCGCGGCCGCAAGATTGCGCAAAGAGAGCGACCTGCTTTGGGGCAAAGGGTCTAATGTGTGGGCTTATCTGTCTGGTGCTTAGCAGGGAATGGGGGAATGGGTTACAGGGACTACTATAAGGGACCTTAAGGGACTATCATAGGGATCCATTCCCCCATTCCCTACTAAGCACCAGACAGTTATGCGCTTGTGGGGTTTCGAGTTGAACTTCTATTAAGTCGGGCTTTTGGGGATGTAGGAAGGGCTTGTCTTGGTGGTGAATGTAAGATGATACTATGACTCGGTTTTCCGACCCTATGTTACCTACCCCACATGCCAAACCCGCATGCCCTTGAACCCTAAACCCCAAACTTTAAAACCCTCCTAAAATCCTAAACCCTAAACCCTAAACCCCAAACCCCAAATCCTACACCCTAAAACCCCCCCCTAAAACCTAAACCCTAAACCCCAAAACCCCCAAACCCCGAACGCTGAAGCCCTGAAACCCAAAACCCCTAAACCCTAAACCCTAAAGCCTGAACCCTTGACTACACCCAAAAACCCCACACCCTAAACCCTAAAACCCCAAACTATAAAACCCTAGCCCTCAACCCCCTTTGACTAATAAGGAAACTCCGGCCTCGGCTTGCTGCTCCACGGCTTGCAGCAGGGCGGCATAGGCAGGGTGCTCTTGGACCTGGAGGGTTTGGGTTTGGGGTTTTGGGTTTCGGAGTTGAGGAGGGTTTTAAGGTTTAGGGTTTAGTAAGAGTTGGGTTTAGGTGTTTAGCAGGGTTTTAGGGTTTAGGGTCTAGCAAGGGTTTAGGGTTTAGGCCTTAGGATTTAGGGTTTTTTGGGCTCACAACAACGACAGTCAAGAAAGATAGCAACAGCGACATGGAGGCTGTTAGGGCTTGAATGAGGATTTCGGGCTTCGAGGTGTAAAGCCTCGGCACAGGAACGCACAGTACGCTTTGGGCTGCTTGGGATGCAGCTCTGGGACCTAGAACCCCGAAACCGCAAACCCTACTGTTGATGGACAAAATTCTGCATGACCCAAATATAGTAAAGTACCATAAATCCCATAGTTTAGGTATATAAGGTCATGCAGGATTTTGTCCATCAACCGTAACACCCTAAACGGTTTAGTGTTTAGGGCTTAGCGTCCTGCCCCAAAACCCCCGAAACTGGAGCCCGTA